ATACGAAACGAAAGTAAAATTTTATCTAATTCAATATAGTATTTGACGAGTTTAAATACGAGCTGTATATTTAATAGCATCAAAAGAGACGTAAAACTCCTAATAGAGATCGAAAGCAGAAGAAAATCGAATTATTCGAATTGAGATTCGACAGACCTATTATAAGCCTGCAGAGTCTAAATACGTCCTAAAACGAAGGACCAAAGTAAGAGCAAAATTTCGTCTCGCGAGAATTTTGCAGTTCTAAATAGGAGCTGTTGATTAAATAATATCAAAAGAGGTCTATCTGAGTATTTTAAGTATCAAAATAAGCCTAAAAGATCTAATTGAGGTTGAACAGAGGAGTAAAATTTCGACTCGGGTAAGATATTTTACGGAGATATAACTGGAAAAGGGAACAAAGTTTGTTACAGTTACTGAGAAAAGTAACTGCAACTGTAACTTCGTTACAAATAATAAGTTACTTCATGCAGGATGACCAGACGTCTGACTTTTTTCCCGACTTGTACTCTTTTTTAAGGTGTCCGAAGACATCCGGCCAGGTTCTCAGCGTATCCGGAGTGTACTCTTTGTGGTATTTATTTTGCAAGAGAGAAAGGGGATTTACAGACCACATACGTACTAAATTATCTAACTATGATAGTGTCATTGTATTGTAAAAATATTCTATCGTTAATGTTATAAATGTCATATTATAACATGATAAAAATTCCCGTAAATGTGACTTGGCACAAGTGTAGGTGACTTGAGCATGTATTTTTGTTAAATTCAATCATGGAATCTATCCATAAGTCTCTAAAGGAAGTTTAAAATTTAAACTTAACTTAACTTCCTTAGAGACTCATGGATAGATTCCATGATTGAATTTAACAAAAATAGATGCTGTCCCAAGTCACCTACCCTTGTCCCAAGTAACCCACATTCATGGTATCTTAAATTCCAAGGAACAAACAATTCATCGATTACAATTATTAATGTGACATTCTCTTTCGTCGACTTACAATCAAGTGACACATCTAAGAATTTTCCACTAACAATTAACGAGTTATGGTAGGGGAGAGGTAATTAAGTGAGAAACAATACATTCAGTACGAAAAAATATGCATCCATATATAAATTTTTTATATCGCTTTGTCTATTCAAATCCAACGACTATTTATATATATATATTTTTTTTTCATACGTTTTCTTATTAGATACGAAGATTCATTGTATAAACAATGTGTACATTCTTCCACTCAAATTTATGCTTTTCAAATAGCCTATGTACTGAAATCACTGAGGGAAAGCCACTTTTTTTATTTATATCTTTA